CTGCCTCAGCCTCCAAAGTATCTGGTATTACAGGCGTGTACTACCATGCCCAGCTAATTTTTGTATTTTTAGTAGAGACAAGGTTTCACCGTGTTGGCCAGGCTGGTCCTGAACTCCTGACCTCAGGTGATTCACCTGCCTCAGCCTCCCAAAGTGCTGAGATTACAGGTGTGAGCCACCACGCCCAGCCCCTATTTTATTTTTTTGAGACAGAGCCTTGCTCTGCTGCCCAGGCTGGAGTGCAGTGGTGTGATTGTTGCTCACTGCAGCCTTGACCTGCTGGCCTCAAGTGATCCTCCCAAATCAGCCTCCCAAATATCTGGGACCACAGGTGTGCACCACCACATGCTGCTAATTTTTGTATTTTTGGTAGCGATAAGGTTTTCCTGCGTAGTCCAGGCTGGTCTCGAACTCCTGGGCTCAAGTGATACTCCCGCCTGGGCCTTCCAAAGTGCTGGGATTGCAGGCGTGTGCCACCGCACCCGGCCGTGTATTACTTTTTTTTTTTTCCTCACTGCAAGCTCCGCCTCCCGGATTTACGCCACTCTCCTGCCTCAGCCTCCCAAGCAACTGGGACTACAGGTGCCCGCCACCTTGCCCGGCTAGTTTTTTTTGTATTTTTTAGTAGAGACGGGGTTTCACCGTGTTAGTCAGGATGGTCTCGATCTCCTGACCTCGTGATCCGCCTGTCTCGGCCTCCCAAAGTGCTGGGATTACAAGCTTGAGCCACCGCACCCGGCCCATGTATTACTTTTATGGGTTCATATATATGTCCATAGAAATATAAATATTTAAAGAAATATTCTTTAAAAAATTCTATCAATAGATATTTCTTCTTTTCTTTTATTTTCTTTCTTTCTTTTTTTTTTTCTGAGACAGAGTCTCACTCTGTTGTCCAGGCTGGAGTGCAGTGGCGTGATCTTGGCTCACTGTAACCCCTGCCCTGTCTCCCAGGTTCAAGTGATTCTTCCCAATGCTCAGGGGGACTCATTAAAACAACCTTTCATAATTGCCTGTTCTGAGCAACACGTAAACATTGTCCTTGAAGAACTACCGCATGGCAGCCGCCCTGGGCCTGGCTGGCAGCTCAAGGGTGTGAGTAACCTGGAACTTCTTCGACTGGGCCCCCCCTGGGGAGGGCATGGAGCCCAAGATTTGGTACCATAATTACTTGCGAGGCTTTCAAATTCCATGACAAAACGCAAATGCAAAGCCCTGGCTCCAGCAGCAGGCAGCTGAAAAGGATTACCTTGACCCTGTTGCGTGCTCCAGTATAGGAATTGCTGGATTCTAACCAGGGCTCTCCCATGCCCGGCTCTATAAACTTTCTCTATATTTTGCATTGTTTCCCTGAGGGTAGGAGATTCCCGTAAGTTGGGTCAAAGGGCAGGGAGGTTTCCGTGGTTCTCATTCGGCCCTGCTGCTGCCCTCCAGACGGATCAGCTGCCAAGGTGGCCCCAGTCATGCCAGCGCAGTAGGCGGTCAGGGCGCAGTTGGGGCAGCCGGCAGGGCAGAAGGGACGGGAGCTTGACCCGGGTTCTGATGGGCAGAGGGAGCCCGGGCAGGGGTGGGGGCAGCGTGCGGGCAGGCGAGGAGGGGAGAGAGCCAGGCAGTCAGGCAGAATTGAAGTGACTGGAGAAAAGCCGAAGGGCCGTGTCTGCCTGAGGCTGGAGACCACCCCAGGTCCACACAGTCCGCTGGGTGCCGGCACCGCTTGGAGCCGCAGGGAAAGCCAAGCACCGCTCTTTCTAGAGCCTTCTTTTTTTCCTATTGTTAGGGAATTCACGACGTCACACTTGTTTTCAAGTGAAAAGAGTTGTGTAGGCCACGAAAATCACGTGACTTGAAAGCTGACCCTGAGAGGCCTCAAAATAAATTCTGGTTTGCTGTGAAAGCCTCGGGTTATAGCGCTAAACTCCCCCCTCCACTGCCCCCCGAAAGTTTTATTCTCCTCTGCTTTTAGGGTGGGGTGTGGCGTAAACAACAGCTTGAGCAGCTCTGAGGGGGAGGGTGTTAGAGATCAGGCAGGTGGAGAAGGCAAGAGTTTTCAAGGATGTCGAAATAGTTTGAGGCGCCCCGTCCCATTATAAAAGTGATACGAGAGACAGCAAGAACGTGCTTCTGGACAGAAAACAGACTCTAAGGAAAGGCAGCCAGAGGTTCACGCTGGATCCTGCGGTCTTCCCTATCTGCGCCTCTGTGCCTCTCTTGCCCTTACAAGGCGCATGGATCAACTTTGGAACAGGTTCTAATTCCGCCTCAGATCCATCTGTGTCTTCCCACGCCTCAGAAATCTGACCTCAGGGCGCAAGCGCAGCCCCAGCCCTCCAAGCCTAGGTAGGCAGGGTTCTCCCATCCGAGAAAGGGCCGAGGGGAGGCTTCCGGGGCGGGACCGACGCGGCCCCTCCCACTCCGCGGGAGGTGGGTTCAGCCTGAACGTACTGCGGAGGCGGGGCCGACGAGGGATCCAGGGACGGGGCAGGTTCAGGCCCCTCCCATCAGGCGGCCAGCGCGAGCGGTAGAGGCGGGTCTGGAGGCGGGGCCTGCGTGGAGCCAGACGGCGCGGCTGCTGCCGGGGGCGGGGCCGACGGGCTGTGGCCCCGCCCTTGGCCGCCATTGCCGGGCCTGCCTGGCCGCTCTGCGCAGCGACCTTGCCTCCTCTTGCCTGGCGGAGCGGGTCAGCGGGCCTGACAGGGAGCCTTCCTGATCGAGCCCACGTCTCCCCACGGCCAGACAAGTCTCCAGCCCGGCCCGCGTCGCCAGTCCCCAGGCTTGGAGGAACGGCCCGAGCCCAGGAGAACCACATCTACGTCCCAGCCCCGGAGGCTCCTGTGGGCAAGATCGTGAGCCAACGGGTTCCTGAGGCCCCTCCTGGCCAGGCAGGGTTTCTCCGCGCGTTTCCGAGGAGCCCTGCCTGGCCGGGCGGCTGGACAAACAGGTCGTAGCACCGATCGCGCCCGCCCCCAGCAGGGGTCCTGCACAGGCTTGTCCCTGACCCCCACCCAAACCCGTTCTTCCGCTTTCCCCCCAAACAGTGCACTTGCCGGCGGTCCCAACCCAGCAGGAGGAGAGTGGACATGAGGTTGGCAGGTGGGTGGCTTCCGCAGCGAACGGGAGGGAGTTGAAAAGGGCACCTGGATGGAGGCCCAGCGTCCCGACATCTGTGTCTGGAGAGGCGCGGGTGGACCACTGGGTTTGGTTTTGGAAATTTCGGAGGACTCTGTACAAACACTCATTCCTTGACCTTAAGCAAATCCTTTCACCTCTGAGGACATCAGCTCCCCGAGCTATGACAGGAGGATTAGTATAGTCAGTATCTCCCAACGCAGGTAGTAGACCAGCTGCTTTTTGGAAAATGAGTGGTGAGAGAGAGGAGGTGGGGAGTCCAGGTGGAGAGGCATGATCTTAGAGGGGAAGTGACAAAAGTGGCTGTGGGCTTAGACATGAACCCGATGACAGCCCTACTGTCACCTGGACAACTAAGATGAAGATCCTTGGGGAGGGATAGGTTGGGGCGGGGTGGAGAGTGGAAAGAACTCAGGAATTGAACTTCAGACTTGCTAAGGTGGTAACTTTGTGGACATATCCAAGTGGAGCTGGCCAGTGAGGAACCAGCTGGCAGGGAGTGGTTTCAAGAGAGGCCACAGCTGGAACTAGAAAATAGGAAGTCATTGACACATGGTGGTTAATTAAAGAGCTGGGAGTAGATGACATCATCTAAAAAGACACTACAGGCTGGGCGCGGTGACTCACACCTGTAATCCCAGCAGTTTGGGAGGCCGAGGCGGGCAGATCACTTGAAGTCAGGAGTTTGAGACCAGCCTGGCCAACATGGTGAATCCCCATCTCTACTTAAAAAATACAAAAAAATTAGCGGGGCGTGGTGGTGGGTGCTTGTAATCCCAGCTACCCGGGAGGCTGAGGTTGCAGTGAGCTGAGATTGTGCCACTGCACACTCCAGCCTGGGCGACAGAGCGAGACTCCGTCTCAAAAAAATAAAAAGACAGCTGGGCACAGTGGCTTACGCCTGTTATCTCAACACTTTGGGAGGCCAAAGCGGGTGGATCACCTGAGGTTAAGAGTTCAAGACCTGCCGGGCGCGGTGGCTCAAGCCTGTAATCCCAGCACTTTGGGAGGCCGAGACGAGCGGATCACGAGGTCAGGAGATCGAGACCATCCTGGCTAACACGGTGAAACCCCGTCTCTACTAGCCCGGCGAGGTGGCGGGCGCCTGTAGTCCCAGTTACTTGGGAGGCTGAGGCAGGAGAATGGCGTAAACCCGGGAGGCGGAGCTTGCAGTGAACTGAGATCCGGCCACTGCACTCCAGCCCGGGCGACAGAGCGAGACTCCGTCTCAAAAAAAAAAAAAAGAGTTCAAGACCAGCCAACATGGTGAAACCCCATCTCTACTAAAAATACAAAAATTAGCCGGGCGTGTTGGCGGGTGCCTGTAATCCCAGCTGCTTGGGAGGCTGAGGCAGGAGAATCGCTTGAACCCACGAGGCGAAGGTTGCAGTGAGCCGAGATTGTGCCATTGCATTCCAGCCTGGGGGACAAGAGCAAGACTCCATCTCAAAAAATTAAAAAAAAAAAGACACTACAGGTAGGGACCAGAAGGCAGCCTGAGATGGAAGCCTGGGAAAGTCCAGCTTTTAAGGGGAGGGTAGAGGAAACGATCTAACTAAGGAGAATGAGGAGTGTCCAGAGAGATCGGGTCGGGAGAGTGTGCTGTCCTGAAAGCCAGCAGAGAAGTGAGTGCTTCTGTGAGGAGGACATGGGCAGCCCACTGAGAGGTCAAGGAAGATGGGGGCTGACAGGTGACCGGGGTGGTGACACCACAAAGGTCATCAGCGGCCTTGGCAACAAGCTGATTTGGTGGGGTGGTGGAAGCCAGGCCAGACTGGAGTAGGGTGGGAGGGAGTAGGAGGTGAGATGATGGAATGAGTATAGATGACTTTTGAGGGGGTTGACAGGGAAAAGAAAGGTTAGGGGAAAGAGGATGGGGATGTGGTTTTGAAGAAGAGTGTTTGCTTTCTTAACATTGGAGATGTTGAAAATACAGGAGAAAGAGCGAGCTAGAGAGAGTGATCACTATTACAAGAAATCAGAGAAGGCTGGGGAGCTTGCAATCCAGGTCCCAGCAGATGACGGAACTGTTTTTTTTTTTGAGACAGTCTTGCTCTGTCATCAGGCTGGAGTGCAGTGGCATGATCTTGGCTCACTTTAACCTCTGCCACCCAGGTTCAAGCGATTCTCCTGCCTCAGCCTCCTGAGTAGCTGCAATTACAGGCGCACGCCACCATGCCCGGCTAATTTTTGTATTTTCAGTAGAGGCGGGGTTTCACCATGTTTTTCAGGCTGGTCTTGAACACCTGACCTTGTAATCTACCCGCCTCGGCCTCCCAAAGTGCTGGGATTACAGGCGTGAGCTACTGCGCCTGGCTGGGACTGGTCTTAAAAGGGAGTAGGGACCCTTCTCCCTCAACAGGAGGAAAGGAGGGGCAGGTGGGTACCCAAATATATTGGTGGTTTCAGAGGCAGGAAGTTGAGGGGGTTCTTGGAAAGAGGGATGGAGCCCTTCTCGAGCAGAGAGTCCCCTCTCAGACCCGCCAGGGAGAACCAAACCCAGCAGCCTTAGGATTTGAACTCAGTTTCCTCTTTCCACCTGCCAGGGAGCTCAAGTCTCCCTCTCAGGCCTGGTGGAAGGCAACAGCTCTCCACCTCTTTGTCCTCCAGCCACTTCTTCCCAAGTGGCAGGGGAGATCCAGTCATGCAAGGCTATGGGGTCATTCTGGGGTTCGCTGGTATCTGAGGTGACCCCACCCCGCGTCTGTCCTGCCTCCAGGCCCTCTCCGCATTGTGGCCCTAGTCGTCAGTGTGGGTCTCACATGGATCGTGGTCAGCATCCTCCTGGGTGGGCCTGGCAGTGGCTTTCCTCGCATCCAGCAACTCTTCACCAGTGAGTGTGGGGCCCCACCTTATCCTTCTCTGGAGGCCACCAAGTTGGCCACATGGGCGTGTGGTTGAGGCTTGGGGTTGGGGGTTGACTTGGGTTTTCTATCTCCTCCCTGGCAGGCTACCTTTGGCTGTCCCCAGTCTGTCTCCTGACATCAGGCACAGCCTCCCCCACCACCCAGTTGCTTCATCTAGGAAAGCCAATACCCGATCACTAGAATTCTGTGCCCAACTGGAGTCAGTAGGGCCAGAGTAAGGGGCAGGGAGCTTCCACTGAACATGGGGAGTGATGCCCAGGTTGCTCCCTGTAGCCTCTGAGATGGAGAGGGGACTCTACACCTTGTTGACTGGTAATAGGTCACCTAAGTACTTTTTTATTTGTTTGATTGAGACAGTGTCTCACTTTGTCTCCCAGGCTGGAGTGCAGTGGTGCGATCTCGGTTCACTGCAACCTCTACCTCCTGGGTTCAAGCGATTCTAGTGCCTCAGCCTCCCGAGTAGCTGAGACTACAGGTGCGCACCACCAAACCCGGCTAATTATTATTATTATTATTGTGTTTTTAGTAGAGATGGGGTTTCACCATGTTGCCCAGGCTGGTCTCAAACTCCTGGGCTCAAGCAATCTACCCGCCTCGGCCTCCAAAAGTGCTACAGGCATGAGCCACTATGCCCGGCCAGGTCATCTAAGTACTTTTTCTAATCCGTTTCCCCCTGTTCCTGAAGTAGGGAGTTTTTCATCTGAACATGACTTACACTTGAGCGGGAAGCATGCCAAGGTCAGCCTGGCTTAGCCCCAAGCCCCTGAGCCTGACTGCCTGTGTCTACACTTCACGGTGTAAGGAGGGCCAGGCTGCCCTGCCGCAGGCCCTGGGAGGCTCCACACTAACAGAAACCACTCTGTATCCACAGGTCCAGAGAGCTCGGTGACTGCAGGTAAGGCCCCTGTCACCTCCCTTCCCTTTGTGATGCCCCTGCCTGCTCCCAGTCCTGTAGGGCTTCTGTTTTCCATTTATTCCTCCCAAAACCAGCTATCGCGGTTCACGGGTGCTGCTCACCACTGGAAACCTAGAAACTGAGTGACTTCCTGAACGTGATAGTGGGCCGGCCTAGGATAGGTACTCCCACTTGCAAAAGGGCAACTTGGAAGGAAGAAAGAGGTCACCAGTCCCAAGCAAGCCCAAAGCCCAGCAGGGCAAAATTCATTTGGTTTCAAGGCCTGAGGGGAATCAGGAATCCTCTGTGACCTGAGATTCTTTTTTCTGGGCCTGCCGGAATGACCCCATGCTCTGAAACAGGAGACAGCCCCACCCTCGGGACCACCCTTCCGTCCCTTCATCTTATCTCCGCCCCCTTCACTCCAGGTCAGCAGTGTTTCTGCTGGTACACGATTCTCAAGAGCCTTGTTGGTCTCTTGTGCAAGTTATAGGGTGCAAGCTCTAAAGCCAGAGTTTTCCTACAGACGCTTCCTAGATAACCCCATCTTCATTGCAGATTTCTGCTGAAAGGGTTGAGTGGACCCACAAGTCACATACCTCAGCTCTGGGACAAACGCTTGAACAGCCTTGCTCTTCTCTCCAGGGGACACTTTTGCAGTTTTTGTAACATGATTAGGCCGAGAATTTTCCACATCTTTGCTTTCTGGCTCCTTTGTGCTCAACAGTTTCTTCCTCATGTCTCTCCTCTTACATTTTACTATAAGCAGCAAGGAGAAGTCAGGCTATGCTCTCAACACTTTGCTTGGAAATCTCCTCAGCTGAATATCCAAGTTCAGCACTCAGCACTTACACATTCTCCTTTCCACAAAACACTAGAACACATTCAACCAAGGTCTTTTTTTTTTTTTTTGAGACGGAGTCTTGCTCTGTCACCCAGGCTGGAGTGCAGTAGAGGAATCCTGGCTCACTGCAACCTCTCCCTCCTGGGTTCAAGCTGTTCTCCCACCTCAGCCTCCTGATTAGCTGGGATTACAGGCACCTGCCACCACACCCAACTAATTTTCGTATTTAGTAGAGATGAGGTTTCACCATGTTGGTCAGGCTGGTCTCAAACTCCTGACCTCAAGTGATCCTCCCACCTCAGCCTCCCAAAGTGCTGGGATTATAGGTGTGAGCCATCACGCCTGGGCCAAGTTCCTTTATAACAAGCATCAGCTTTCCTCCAGTGCCCAATAACTGAAAAACATGTCCCTCATTTTCCTCTGAGGCTTAACCAAAAGCACCTCTTTTTTTTCTTTTTCTTTTATTATTTATTTTTTGAATGTTTTGAGACAGGGTCTTGCTCTCTCACCCAGACTGGAGGGCAGTGGTACAATCATAGCTCAAGTGATTCTCCTGCCTCAGCCTCCTGAGTAGCTGGGATTACAGGCATGCACCACCACAGCTAGCTTATTTTGTATTTTTTGTAGAGATGGGGTCTCACTATGTTGCCCAGGCTGGTCTTGATCACCTGGCCTCAAGTGATGCTCCTGCCTTGGCCTCCCAAGGTGCTGGGATCACATGCGTGAATCACCACACTCAACCCAAAAGCACCTTTAACATTCATGTTTCTAGCAACGTTCTGTTCATGATGATGTTTGTATTCTCTAAGACCACAGAGGCTGTGTCTATTGCTCTCCCCTCCTCTCACCAGAATTACCTTTAACATCCATACTCCTACCAACAGTCTCTTAAAGGCAATCCAGACCTTTTCTAACATGTACCTCAAACTTCTACAGCCTTGATGTGGTTTAAATGTTGTCTCCAAAACTCATGTTGAAATATGTCAATGTGTTGGTCTTGAGAGCAGGACCTTTTTGAGGTAGTTAGGTCATGAGGGCTCTGCCCTCATGAATGGATGAATGCCATTACTATGGGTAAGTTAATTACCTTGAAGTTCAGCCCCCTTTTTTTCTGTGTCTCATACGCTTGCTTCTGCCTTCCACCTTTCTGCCACGGGATGACCCTTACCAGATGCCAGCGCCATGCTCTTGGACTTCCCAGCCTCCAGAATCATGAGCCAAATGAATCTGTTGTCTTTATAAATTACCCAGTCTGTGGTATTCTGTTGTGGCCACAGCAAATGGACTAAGACAGGCCTCTACTGACTACCCAGTTCCAAAGCCATTTCCACATTTTTAGGTATTTGTTACCTAAGCATGACACTTCCTGGTGCCAAAACCTGTATCCATTTCCTGGAACTGCCATTTCAACTGGGTGGCTTAAACAACAGAAATGGATTCTCTCCCCATTCTGAAAACCAGAAGTCTGAAATCAAGGTGTCACCAGGGCGGCACTCACTCTGAAAGTTCTACAGGAGGGTCCTTCTGACCTCCCCAGGTTCCAGTGGCCCCAGGCATACCTTGGCCTCTGGCTGTATCACTCCTGTCTCTTCCTCCAGTGTCCCATGGCTGTCTTCCCTCTGTGTGTCTTTGTCACTTCCGTTCTTATGAGGACATCAGTCATGTTGCATTAAGGCCCCACCTACTCCAATATGACCCCATCTGAATTCATTTCTCTGCAAAGGCCTGTTTGCAAACATCACATTCTGAAGTACCAGAGATTAGAACTTCAACATATCTTGAGGGGACAGAATTCAACCCATAAGGGAAGCCATCCTGCTGCAGTCCTCCCAACCAACCCCCATCAAAATCGGGAGACAGGCTGCACCCCCTGCCACACTACCCCCTGCCACACTGCCTTTGCTGTGGTTGGCCTCATCCATGCCGCTAGGTCCCCAGCCTGACTTACTTCACCCCTGCTTTGTTCCTGGCTGTGCAGTGGCCCAGGCCAGCCCTCAGCATCCTTTCTTTTCTCCCACCAGTAACAGAAAATCCTTCTGTCTTGGGTCCCTATGGCCTCACCAGTAGGACATAGAGTATGGAAGTGTCCCCAGCCTTGGCCTGAGCCACATCCCCCTATTTGTTCCCTGCTCTGCGGTCACTTGTTCTACCATGTGTGCTGGTCCTGACCTCCCCTTCAGATCTCAGGTGACCTCAGGGCCAGGCCCATGGGTAACACCTGCTATCCCTGCCCAGCGCCACGGGCCAGGAAGTACAAGTGCGGCCTGCCCCAGCCATGTCCTGAGGAGCACCTGGCCTTCCGTGTGGTCAGCGGGGCCGCCAACGTCATTGGGCCCAAGATCTGCCTTGAGGACAAGATGTGAGCTCCCTGGGGTGAATGGGGATCAGGGAGGGAGTGGGGGATCCAGGGCCGGGTCTGCAAGGGAGAGTGGAGCAGATGTGCCCATGTGGGATCTCCCCGTCCCCCGCCCCTAACTAGGCTGATGAGCAGCGTCAAGGACAACGTGGGCCGTGGGCTGAACATCGCCCTGGTGAACGGTGAGGCCCCTGGCTGAGTGTGGCCTGCCGCCCTCCTTCCCTGCTCCCTCCCCAGGAGGCCTCTGGGTGTTTGCCCTCCCTTCCCCTCCCCTTCAGGATCTCCCAGGGAGGCCCAGGAAGGAGTCTGTGCAAAGCCGAAGGCTCCACAGAGGAGTGACCCAATGAACAAAAAGGCACGATGGCAAAAAATAAAGCACTGGGGAGGGTTCTGGGAGGTCGGGGGTGCTTCATGGAGCCCCCAGAGGGCCTCAAATGCCAGACAGAGGCACCATGGCTTGGGGTGGGATGCAGCTGCCTGAACAAATGAATGAATATTGGGGGACTGTTTGAAAGCTTCCAGAAGGGCTGCCCCCCCGTTGCTGCCCGCCTGCCGTGCCCTGAGGCTGGCCTGGCTCACCCAGCAGGGCCCTCCCTCCTGACACAGGGGTCAGCGGCGAGCTCATCGAGGCCCGGGCCTTTGACATGTGGGCCGGAGGTGAGTTATAGCGCAGCATCTTGCATTTTGACTGCAGCAAAATGACCTGGGCAGCTTCCCCTGAGACGCTGCTCGCTCTCTCTGTCTGTACTTGGGGCTTCTCAGTCACCTCCTTGGTTTCGGAAATGACAGGGGCATCACCAGCTTGGTTTAGAGGCTGTGGGAGGTCATGGGGATGCCTCAGCTTCCTATACCAGTCTGTCCCTTGGCGGGGCATGTCCCAGGGCAATCCCTACTTCTGTTTCCTTGTTTGGAGAACAGGGGCTGGTGGGAGGGTGCTCAGTGGTACCTGATGACCCCTGTTCCGTGGCATCTGCCCCCCGCCAGATGTCAACGACCTGTTGAAGTTTATTCGGCCACTGCACGAAGGCACCCTGGTGTTCGTGGCATCCTACGACGACCCAGCCACCAAGTAAGTACTTGGGGAGGCCAGCCTCAGCCTTGCCCTTCTGCAGCGACAGCTGACACCTCTTCCTCCCATGCTGCAGGATGAATGAAGAGACCAGAAAGCTCTTCAGCGAGCTGGGCAGCAGGAACGCCAAGGAGCTGGCCTTCCGGGATAGCTGGGTGTTTGTGGGGGCCAAGGGTGTGCAGAACAAGAGCCCCTTTGAGCAGGTATGGTGGGTGCTTGGCATCATCCCCACCAGCACAGGGCAGCCCGTCACCCCTTCTGCCTACATGTCACGCGGCTCCCCGACTGCTCACGCCCCAGCAGGGGACCATCCCCAGTCCAGCTATGAGGGGTGGGCCAGCGCAGCTGGTGCCATGTTTCCCTGGGGTGGGTGGAGGGGCCGTGCCCTGAGAGTGCACTGTTGGCCAGCACAGCACAGGTGACTGAAAGCCTGGGCCCTGGTCCACTCCTGTCCCCTGTCCCTGAGGGCCAAGGTCATGCCTTTCTGCTCCCCTCCCCGCAGCACGTGAAGAACAGTAAGCACACCAACAAGTACGAAGGCTGGCCCGAGGCACTGGAGATGGAAGGTTGCATCCCGCGGAGAAGCACGGCCAGCTAGCACGGCCAGCGCCAGGACCAGGCCGAGGGAGGCCAGGCCAAGGGAGGCACGCGCGCTGCCGGGTGGACGGAGGCCGAGGCCCACACCCCACGCCTGGGCAGGAGTGCTCTGTGGCCCCAACACATTGGGGCTCTGAGGCAGTGACCAGAATGTGGTCTCAAGGTGGTGGAGGATATGGGGGCTGCAGGGGCTAGCTCTGCCGCACTTTGTCACGGGAGCCCAGGGTACCCGCCTCCTTTTCGTAACACTGTTCCCCCGGTCAGCCCATCTAGCCCTGTCCTCCTCCATTCTTCACACCATCTCCGTCCCCATCCTGAGTCCTGGAACAGCCCTGGGTGCCTGCCCCTCACTGTGCAACTCTGGGAGCAGACCCCGGCAGGTTGGGACATCTTCCAGAACCTCTCCCTTCTGGAACCACCCTCTGCACTGCGGGCTAAACATGTTTCCAGTGTGATTCCTTCCAGTGAGCCAAACCCGGTGGCTGCTTCATGAGCAGGCTGGCCCGGGGTGGTAAAGCAGCTGGAGCCTGATCATGGTCCCGTCTGCAGTTTGTCAGGGGGCCCACCTTCTAGATGACCCCTTAATAAAGTGATGGCCCCACAGAAGAAATGCCTTCAGATGCTGTTGTCAGTGCGGAGTCAGGGGTGATGGTGTCCTCTGGGGTGTGGGAGGACAGATTCCAGAGTCTTAACCAACCTGCTTCCACAGCCCTAGCAGACAGCCTTTTGTCTCAAGGGCTCCTGCCACCAACAGGCCCTGCTGTGACTGAGATGTGACTCAAGCAGTGATCAGAGCGGCCCCAGGTAGTGCCACCATGGCTTTGTCTGGGAGACATGATTCCACATTCAGGGGCTGCAGGAAACTCAACAACTCCCTCTGACCCAGTGCAGGCCTGTAGGGACAGGGACAGGGATTAACACCAGCCCAGGCCCCCCCGCCACACCCCCATCATCATCCAAGAGCACGTGTCGCCCACAGACTTTGACTGCCTTTGAAGTCAGGGTTTGAGGGGTCGAGTCACTTGGGCTTTTCGCGTGTCTCGCAGGTTACAGTTAATACCTCCCTTCGCTGAGCGAGAGCCAGCAAGTTAGAAGCAATTTTGCTGGAATAAAATCCAGAGGCCCAGAAGCAGTCTGAGTTCAGCGAAAGGAGAGAAGGCAGTTCCTAGATGGGAGGCACTGTGGTGTCCTTGACAGGGCCACATTAGGGGTGATGGACTTAAGAGCCGACCCCAGGAAGAGTGTAGAGCTCAGACAGAGCCTCAGAAGACAAAAGTGCTTCCGGAGCAGGCACATGTGGGGTTGGAGGCACAGGGGTGCCCTGGAAGAGAGACTCACCAGGCAGGAAATGATGGTGATTCCAGGACTGAAAAGATCACACAGCCAACACCCAGTCCTGTCTCTGCATCAGGAACTTTCTACATGTATTCCCTTTTTTTTTTTTTTTTTTTTGTAAATGTTCTTTCTTAGAACCATTTTAGGTTCACAGCAAAACTGAGTGGAAAGGTCAGAGTTCCTGTGTGCCCCCTGCCAGCCTCCAGCGTCCCATCTGTTGCTGTCAATGAACCAGCATTGGTGCTCACATGAGGCTTCACTCTGCTGTTGGACATTCGATGGGTTTGGACAAAAATGTGTAATGATGGATCCACTGCAGGATCATACATACTTCACTCTTTAGATTTGCTATGGAAAATTGCAAACATCTCCAGAAGACAGACTAGCATACAGTCAGCCCTTCATATCCATGGGGGTTCCATGTCCACAGATTCAACCAACCACAGATTGGAAATATTTGAAAAAAATAAAAATACAAGAATAAAAAATAGTACAAGTAAAAAACAATACAGTGGCCGGGCGCAGTGCCTCATGCCTGTAATCCCAGCACTTTGGGAGGCCAAGGCGGGCAGATCACAAGGTTAGGAGATCGAGACCATCCTGGCTAACATGGTGAAACCCTGTCTCTACTAAAAAATACAAAAAATTAGCCAGGCGTGGTGGCGGGAGCCTGTAGTCCCACCTACTCAGGAGGCTGAGGCGGGAGAATGGCGTGAACCCGGGAGGCAGAGCTTGCAGTGAGCCGAGATTGCGTCACTGCACTCCAGGCTGGGCGACAGAGCGCGACTCTGTCTCAAAAAAAAAAAAAAAATTAGCCAAGCGTGGTGGCAGTAATCCCAGCTATTCAGGAGGCTGAGGCAGGAGAATCACTTGAACCCGGGAGGCAGAGGTTACAGTGAGCCAAGATCATGCCATTGCGCTCCAGCCTGGGCAACAAAAGCAAAACTTCATCTCAAGAAAAAAAAAAACAATACAGTGTAGGCTCTCACAGTGGCTCATGCCCTATAACCCAGCACTTCGGGAGGCCAAGGTGGGCAGGTCATTTGAGCCCAAGCATTCGAGACCAGCCTGGGTAAAATTGCGAGACCCCATCTCTACAAAATAAATAAAGAAAATTAGCCAGACATGGTGACACGCATCTGTAGTCCCAGCTACTTGAGAGGCTGAGACAAGAGGATCACTTGAGCCCAGGAGGTCAAGGATGTCATGAGCCAAGATCACACCACTGCACTTCAGCCTGGGCAACAGAGTGAGATCCTATCAAAAAACAAGAAACAATACAGTGTAATAGCTATTTGCATAGCATTTGTATTGTATTAAGCATGATAAATAATCTAGAGATGGTTTAGATTCTATGGGACTAGGCTTGGTAGCTCATGTCTGTAATCCCAGCACTTATGGAGGTTGAGGCAGGCGGATTGCTGCAGTCCAGGAGGTTGAGGCTGCAGTGAGCCATGACTGTGCCACTGCACTCCAGCCAGGGTGACAGAGCAAGACCTTGTCTCAAAAAAAAAAAACAAAAAACAGGCCGCGCACAGTGGCTCACACCTGTAATCCCAGCACTTTGGGAGACTGAGGTGGGCAGATCATCTGAAGTCGGGAGTTTGAGACCAGCCTGGCCAACATGGTAAAACCCTGTCTCTACTAAAAACACAAAAATTAGCCGGGTGTGGTGGCACATGCCTGTGATCCTAGCTATTCAAGAGGCTGAGGCAGGAGAATCGCTTGAACCTCGAATGTGGAGGTTGCAGTGAGCCAAGGTTGCACCATTGCACTCCAGCCTAGGCAACAAGAGTGAAACTGCATCTGAAAAAAAAAAAATCTGAGATTACTATGTGGTCAAATCACTATTCTTGCAGGCAAAATTTGATCAAAGTAAACTTATTTTACAAACAAATTTGTATTACTCTGATTATCTTTAGTAAAAATCAGGATGACCTTAGAAAAAGTTGTTTCTTTTTCTTTTTCTTTTTTTTTTTTTTTTTTTTTTTGAGACAGAGTCTCGCTCTGTTGCCCAGGCTAGAGTGCAGTGGCAGGATCTCGGCTCACTGCAAGCTCCACCTCCTGGGTTCACGCCATTCTCTTGCCTCAGCCTCCCGAGTAGCTGGGACTACAGGCACCTGCTGGCACGCCCAGCTAATTTTTTTTTTTTTTTTTTTTTTTTTTTTTGTATTTTTAGTAGAGACAAGGTTTCACCATGTTAACCAGGATGGTCTTGATCTCCTGACCTCGTGATCCGCCCATCTTGGCCTCCCAGAAATAGTTGTTTCTAAAGGAAAAACACTAAAATATGCCTGTTATTAGATTGCAGCCCTTTGCATTGTTTCTTATCTACATGAAGACAGGACTAGACCCCAAATCCTCCTAATTTCCTCTAATATTTGGCTAAAACTCTCCAAGTAAGAAAAAAAAAAAACCTGTTATGTTGCTAAAGGCCTTGAAGCTGGAGCTAGAAAACTTGGTATAAATATCAAGGGACAAGTCTCATGCCTAATGTATGGGTCACACAGAAAGTTCTCCAAACCACCTGATGCCATAACCAGAGACATTCAAACTGCAAACCAGAACAAGAAGTTGAGATTTTTGGCTGGGCATGGTGGTTCACGCCTGTAATCCCAGCAGTTTGAGAGGCCGAGGCGGGTGGATCACTTGAGGTCAGGAGTTCGAGACCAGTCTGGCCAACATGGTGAAACCGCATCTCTACCAAAAATATTTTTTAAAAATTAGCTGCGTGTGGTGGCACGCACTTGTAATCCCAGCTACTCGGGAGGCTGAGGCAGGAGAATTGCTTGAACCCGGGAGGCAGAGGTTGCAGTGAGCCGAGATCATGCTGCTGCACTCCAGCCTGGGCGACAGAGCGAGACTCTGTCTCAAAAAAAAAAAAGAAGTTGAGAGCTTCACCCATCAAAATGAAAATCTTGTCACTCTTAATTTTTCCTTTCTTATGTCTGCCTTTTCGTTGACGGGATAATGGTGTAATTTAAACTGCACAATCAATAGCTTCTATCAGTAACCTCACAGAACCTGACCTAAGAGAACCTTCAGTATCTATTGGTTAAATCAGGAAATATCTGTTCTATTGCTAATAGCACCTGCTGAACCTGGATAAATTTCCCTGGAGAACTTGAGGCCCCATATACACTAAATTACAAAACATAGGTTATAACAGGTCACATAGGTTATAATGGGTCTCACCAAATTCCCCATGGTCATTTGATTTATTGACTTGATTGCCTTTAAGCCTAGGTTCATAGCTCAAAACCATTATGAAAACTGGGGGTATCATATTACTATTAATATTAATTTGTATTTTCCTTTTAACAATTTGTACTTATTACTTGTGAAGCTTCTGCAGAAGTACAGCTGCTAACAGAATATGCTGGCCTGGGGCTTCCAGACAATGGCCAAAAGACCACGGAACACAGAAAATTGAACGTAAAGATGGACTTCAGGTAGACTTAGTCTGAGTGCAACTTTCCCCGAATTTCCAGTGTTGCTCAGATGTGCCTAAAGGGGTTTTGACACTGACTCCTAGTTGTCAATCACTCCCTCTTATCTGGAACCAGACCAACAGCCCAGGACAGGTCCATCCCAGTACTGAGGGACAGTCCAAACCCACTGCTTTTGAAGAAAGATCACGATCAAAAAGGGGAAATGTGAAAGTTGCCAGAAGCAAAATGGAGTCACTTGTATTAAAAACAAAACAGGTGTGGTGGCTCATGCCTGTAATTCCAGCACTTTGGGAGGCTGAGGTGGGTGGATCACTTGAGGTCAGGAGTTTGAGACCATCCTGGCCAACATGGTAAAACCCTGTCTCTAGTAAAAATAGAAAAATTAGCTGGGCGTAGTGATGCAGGCCTGTAGTCCCAGCTACTCAGGAGGTTGAGGTGGGAGAATTGCTGGAACTCGGGAGATGGAGGTTGCAGTGAGCCAAGAGCGCACCACTGCACTCCAGCCTGGGTGACAGAGTGAGACTGTGTCTCAAAAAACAAAAGAAAACAAAACAAAAAATCCCTGCCAGGTGTGGTGGCACATGCCTATAGTCCTAACTACTCAGGAGGCTGCAGCAGGAGAACTGCTTGAGCCCAGGAGTTCTGGGCTATAGTGTGCCATGCCAATCAGGTGTCCACAAAAAGCTCAGCATCAGTATCCTGGGAGTGGAGGACCACTAGGTTGTCTAGGGAGGAATGAACCAGCCCAGGCTGGAAATGGAACAGGTTAAAACTTCCATGCTAGGCCAGGTGCGGTGGCTCGCCCCTGTAATCTAGCAC